ATCACATTCATCCCTAATCGTTTCGTCCCACAAGTCGATTCGTCCAAAGTCGATTCGTTCCACAAGTTAATTAGTCCCAAAGTAGATTCGTCCCACAAGTTGATTCGTCCCAAAGTCGATTCGTCCCAAAGTCGATTCGTCCCACAAGTCGATTCGTCAGATTTAACTACTAACTCGCCAAATAAGCACAAATAAATCCAAACAACGCACTGTTTTTGCCGACGTTATATACAAACACCTTACACGCAACGTACAAGTTATTAGTTAATAAATACAAATACACCGTACAAGTTATTAGTTAATAAATACAAATACATCGTACACGCAACGTAGAGTTATTAGTTAATAAATACAAATACACCGTTCACACAACATGGAGTTATTAATTAGCGTGTCAGTAACAGTTGGCATAGAAATTGACCCTGCTCAAGATCTTAATGCTGACCAAAAATTAAACAAATTGGACGAATGTGAATTGGGACGAATGGAAATGGGACGAATGTGAATTGGGACGAATGGGAAATGGGACGAATGTGAATTGGGACGAATCGGAAATGGGACGAATTGACTGTGAACAGTGAATGTTACCACATAAGATGACAGGGTGAATTATTATTATATACATGTATGATCGTGGAAAGTATTACAAGGCTACTAATATCTTCAATGGTATTGGCGGGTCGTATGTTTTCACACATGTTCATGTTAAAAAAATACCGGTACTACATTAACGATAATTGTAAGTTGCAGGACAGGTTGGTGTCTTTTAGGGCGAACACCATGAGAGGACTCGCAGTACAAATTGGTCGGCAGTTATCACTTAGGTAAGATCAAATACACTACAAGTTTCTAAAAGTTCTCAATTAAAATGCAGCCAAATAAAATGACACAATCAAAACAGTGATCAATGATCCATGTTCCATCTGTGGCTAATGTGTGACCGTGGTTACGCAAGGCGACTCGATCGACGCTCGTCTATTGGACGTTAGCTACGTTTTAACATGTACATCAACACTGACAATATAAAACATTGCTTACCGTTGGACAATCTTTATTTTACTCGAGTGTAAAACTCCTACATCGATGGCGATCACGTGAGACAGAAAATCTTACTTTTTAACTATCAATCGCTAAAAAACAAAACAGTCGTCGCCATTTTGGATAGGTATTTTTCCCACAATCCTCAGCTAAAGTGATCCTTCAGCCACAGCAAAATAATCGACTGTAACTTTGCGTTGTTGTCACAATTAACTTGGCGTCAAGTTGTTGTCAAGGTTTTAACATTTATATATGGAATTGCTCTCTACATATTCAAAATCGAAAAATAAGCTCTTAATGCGTGTATTTTCGCGAACTAGATAATGTCCGATAAATGAAAAATTAACAGTAAGTTAGAGAGCCTAGGACTGGGATTCCCTCTTGCCTTTGAAAAAAAAGAGTCCAAAACAGAAGCGTACAAAACTGACGTTGATAGCAAACATGGTTGGTAAATTAGAATTGTGTTTACTGTTATCCGTTGCGATGGGAACTTTTGGCTTGTCTGTATTGACGTTATTTGAGCTGGTGTTCTTTCTTTACAACTCTGAAAACAGAACAGTCGAAAGACTTCAACGGAAAGGTCAGTTTTATCATAGACCCTCCACAATCCACTGTACAATGTAATATAACACGTCCATGGTTTTATCTACAGGTGCTCGGCATGGGATCTAAAGTGCTTAGTCAGTCGCTGACACCACTCACTAATGTTTTAGTGGAGTTGACGACTATATCGGCGACTGACTAAGTATATCTTTTTTTAGCCCCTGTTTATTATTCCATAAGCGTATATACCGAGCGCCTGTGGTTTTATCTACCTTTACAAAAAATGATCTGCTTGAATGTACGCCTTACATGTGTACAAGAATACTACATGATATATACATTTTTTATGTTTGTTTCATGTATACATCAAACCTACATGTTGAGTATTTCAGTTACTCCAAACAGTAAATGTACATCAAAATTACATGAAACCTGTACGTTTGAAGTATACTTGAACACCATATATTGCATTTATATAAACCCAAGCACAAAATCTATGTATACATTAAATATACATGAAGGAATTGGCCAAATCACTAAAAGACCAAGCCAAGAAGAATGATAAATTTGCTATGCGTTGGTATTATCATACATTGATCCTACATTTATACATTGTATGACCACATATTCAAGGATATCTGTAATCAAATATGGAAAATGTTTTTTTTAATTTGTTTGACTTACCGGGGTATTATGTTATGATATCTTGTGTTCTTGTTTCTGTGATTTCTGAGTGAATGCGCAATATGGCAGTGACAAAAGTCACAGCAGTTAAGAAATATTTCTTAGGCAATCAAATGAACTAAAAAAAACCAAGTTACCAGTTAAGTGGTGGCTAGAATATCTATCATATATTAGCTAATAATGTTTATTATAATAACTTTGTAGGCTTAACAGATGGAGGCAAAGCCCTGTTTCAAGATGTCTTGCTGCTTGTGTTGTTTGTCTTACAACACACACTAATGGCAAAATCTGTTTTAAAACAACTTTATAAAAAGTGTGGTGGAGTTGCCTTGCCCTTGGAAAGATGCATTTATGTCATTTGTAGTTGTTGTGCTTTGCAGGTTAGTGCTATATTTATGTAGAATTCAAATATGATTTTGTTTAGACCATGTGCATGTTTCTTTGACATGTGTGTCAACTTGATGGTAACTGATTTACAGCATGTCAGCTGCTCTACTGTCACATGCTAGTCATTACTATTACAAAATGTTAGCACATATGTATTTAGTCATTCATGGTACATGTATGATATAAACTAATTATTGTTCCTACATGTAGATCAACATTGTCCAATTTACTATAGACAGGGCTAGATATTAAAAGTACTTTAATATTCAGCGCTTGATAAATCATAATCTCATGTGTATTTGCTTCTATTAAAAGTATGAATCATTTATTTATTCATGCATTCATTTATTCATTAATTCATTGTATTGATTCAAACAATCATAAT